AATACGACTTCCCCTCTCCCAGCGACCAAATACGACCCTCTCCCGGAATCCCCAACGACGATGTGCCCTGACAAAAGGTTAGCACCGATATAGATCGAGTCACATATTGCATTCCACCCTAGAGCTCAAATGGTTAAGAAGCGCACTTGAACCGGTACATGCATTTATGGTGTCTAATGTGCTTCTGAATATGAATCTGGTGGCACATTCTTGTGTCTATCTGGGATATGGTGGGTCCTTCGAAGGCACATTCTGCGCTGTTTACGGGTGAGGTCAGCCTATCATTCCGCTGTCCTCATTGGCGTACCCCCTCATTACGAACGAAGAGGAAGCAAGGCTATAACGGAGCCACACGTCGAAGGAGACTCAATGACGGGCCTAATTCCGCCTACACGGCCAGCGTAGACTGCTCCTTCAATCTACCTCTTTTGTTGGTCAGAAACGACCGTATTTTAGACAAAACTGAACGGGGCTTCTATACTAATATTCGCCAACCTCACGAGGCAAGAACTGCGATCTATTTTTGAGGAATATCAGAAAGGATACCTCAAACGAAAGCGACAGTCGCTGTCAGCAAAGTTATCGATATCCCAGTAGAGCACAACATATTCTCGGCCCACCACAGGATACAATGCATTCACTTTCAAAGGATCTAAAAAATGCAGATTTCAAATTTTTACCGCTTGCTGTCTGTTTCTCTGTCGAGGTATCTGGCAGAGACAGAAGATACTGGTGACTCTAGAACTCTGGACATAGACTCTGTAAAACGTACACGTAGTTATCGCCTCGGTGACTGGACGACTTCGCACTCTCTTGTAGACAGTGTAGAGCGTGAACAAATAGGTCTTGCCGGGAATCAGCTTCGTAAATGTCAGCGATTTACTGGAAAAATAACAATCATAAATGGAAGTAAACAAGATTACCCCTTCATTTTTTGAAGTAAGCAAACTGGAACATTAGCTGGAGGCAGCAGCCGTTTTCAAAGTAGCTTCTAAGGTGCACCCATGAAAGGTTTCATTGAGAACCGCAGTCTCTCACCTGGACATGTAGTGGTGAGAGGGCGTTTTCAGGTGCACACAGTAAGACTAGGTGGCTAGTAGCCCAAGGCAGCACGCTCCCAAACCCAGTCGCGACACGTTTGGCGCGGCCCATCCCCTTCTCTGACGAACCTGTTTGAGCGACAAGGACAATATACTAGTGGAAAACAGGCTGGCGTCGGGCGCTGTTTAGCGACGGCGGGGGGGCATTTGCCACTTAATTGCTTCCTCTAGTCGGTTCACGCAATTCACCATCCGTAAAACTTCGAGGAACGCCTGTGAAGCTGGAGTAAGATCGTCTAGCCACCATCCTAAAACGTGTCAACTCGAGAAAAGGCTACCTAGATGGGTCGGCACATCTATGAAAAGCCGAATGCCCCCCCCCCCCCGTCGACAAACTGCGCCCACGCGTCGCTGCAAGCGCACAGCTCTCGCCCCTATTTACTGGCCCAACGTGCGCAGTGAACAACACTGTACATATCTGGGCCAGGAAAGCTTCGTACCGAAAATCCCAATGACCCAGTTACACTTCCTATCCTTGAGGCAGAGTAGGCGTGGCATTTGAAAATGGTATAGGATGGATTACTCGTGAGTTATTTTGAATTGAGACTCCCTGCTCTGTGTTGGACAAAGACTTGATTACAACTGTTCCAAAGTGAAAATATCTCACGAAAACCATGGCAACCGCTACACTCAATTCGAGCACGCAGCCACGCCTGCCACATCTCCGAGATTTTGAGTATAGTCAGTCGTCAGTTACGAGCAGTGTTGTCAAAGAAAACAAAACGACTGCTGTATTCGGGCGTCAGTTTCAGTGTGCGGAAGAGCAATCTATCATTCTTTCAAGGCTCCAGTCACAAACTACGAGAGGATTAACAGCTATGAAAGACAACTGACTCGTGGTTGATTTCGATCTTTTTCGTGATGTTCTTGTTGTTCCCTGTGAAGACGAGCTCGTAGTAGTCGAATCGCCCTTGCTCGATGTCGGAATCACCAAAATTGATGTTGATTGATGTTGACGTGATTTTCCCGGGTGATATCATGGATGAGATTATCGGAGCTGAATAGCGATTCCTAGTTAATCGAACGAAAAGCAGCTAACTGGTCTTACAACTACATGATGGTTATATCTGCGCGAAAATTTAGCCAATTTTTCTGCAATTGAGGAGTTGCAGTACTTCCAATGTTTACTTACGTGTGATCTGTTCGAGTTGAGTGACCGCAGAACTCAGCCCAAGCTCGAGAGATTCATTCCGAACTGAGATATGGTAACGTTGAGTTGGTTCGAGTGCTGTCCAGCACGAGCGGTTTCTGTGCAGCCTCAGTCACTTCAATTACCTGTTCGCTACCCTTAATATATGAATCTAATCAATCAGATCACAACAAAAAGTCTAACAGGCACCATGTGCCTCGGAGGCACCATGCCAGCAGAGTTAAGTCACAACATACAGTCCTCATCATTGCGGACCGGTGGGGCGTGTCAGCCCAGAAGGAGTGTGCACATTGTTGAAGCCGTTCTCAGCCTTTTTGTTGCAACGCGTATGTGGGACAGAAAGTGGTAGAAGACGAGCAATACGAAGGATATTATACAGCAATGCACTTGCTCGCTTCAAAAACTGGTGCAGAACGACTTTGCCAAACCGCACCAAATGCAGCCGCACTGCCACGCCCCACCGGTCCGCAATGATGAGGACTGTACAGTCTTCGGTCGCAACAGCATGTCAGCGGCATCTTCAGTAGCGTTGGTTGGCGGAAGACCAGCCTCTTTCACCAATTGGTGGTTAGGCTACCATTCTTCACAATTACGCAGACGAACGGGTCATATGTGACAAAGACAATCGTAATATGGCGCGCTGGTCGGTACAGTGTGGCGAGCGCCGACAGACGACGTTCCTCAGGCACGCCATTACCGCGTGCATCATTTCTACAAAATCGACCCCCCCCCTAATTCCATCTTCAAGTACGACCCCCCCCCCCCTCCCCACGTTACCTCTTCCCTAGATTTTTCCAACCTCCTACCACTTTGTCTATTTTTTCCCAAAAAGTTTCTGGTTTTTTTACAAAATTTTGCTGTCGAGCGGGGGGGGGGTCGCAGTACCTACGTACGTCCCAAGCACGTCCTAGCACTCTGGCGCTGGTGTAGCATACTGACAATACGTACGAGGAAGGGGCGATGATAGGAGCTACGATCACCGCCCACAAGGGCCCCATGAATTTATAAACAAACAAGAGGACTCACGACGTGACGATTAATAAACAGATGAAAGTACATTCCCGGACTTTTCTGATCGTAGGAGCACATTTGCTTGCAATTGGGAAGCCCTATCTAGAAGTTACACCTTTCAAACACCTGCGTGAAAGCCCCATGCATGGCGCATTGCATATGTGATGCCAATTGGCGCCCAATGGCCTATTACCTGATATGCTTGACGAAAACATGTGTTTCAGAAGCATACCAAAGTCTTCGAGCCAACTGGAGGTTTCCTGGCCTCGGAGGGGTTGATTTTTCGGTGTCGTGGGGGTGATTACAAAATGATCACAACGGGGAATTTTTTCGAATAGTAGGTCTAGGAAGGAAATTAAAACCTTGCTGGAAAGTAGAAATCTTCAAGCTTCCGGCACAGTTCTTTTTTTTTACGAAACAGGTTCGTGTATGAGCTTGCCATGCGATCGCAAAAACGTATCGACTCGCGCTTCGCCCAAAAAGATCACAGTAATGGATCACAAAAGATGATCACCAACGGGAAAATCTCTGGAATCGGAACGTTTTGAAATCGCTCAATTCAGGTGATAAGAGCCAACCTAGCTCTACTCATTCCCACTTACCCCTCTCCGATAGCTTCACTTTCAACGAAGTTATGGGTGTTCAAATGAGGGGTACTTTTCACGTGTTTGGCTTGAAATTGGCTCCAAACCGTAAAATAGCGCGCACCAATGCGCTTGTATGAGCGCGCTGACCGCGAACAGCCAAAATTCAAAAGTAATCCATAGTTCCGGTTCCCAGCTGAGCGGTGAGTTTTTCTTCGATATCCATTTTTATTGTGAATTACTTTGATTGTTTGTTTTTGTTGAGTTTAATTTTGTTTTGTTGAGTTTGATTTTGTTGTGAGGAAATTGCTCAGGATTCAATTTCTACGGTTTCATAGGTAGCTTTTGCAATGGATTCTTTCTAGATTTTGCGGATTAGTGGATTGGGATTTATCTAGACCAGATGAGGAGGGTTGGTGGGCGAAGTGTCTTGAAGTTTTTTGTGAGGAAGGAGGAAAAAGTTTCAGCAATATTTTTTTTAGTTTTTGGCCTAGGAATAGTTCGATAGTGCCTAGTTCTATTTATTGTCATCTACATCGTCCCTTTTGAGCTTCTTTTTACTTGTACCGTGTATCACCGCTCTCTCCACTTCAACATGGGCCATGCGTTTACGACCCCCCCCCCTCCATCGCGGGCAAATACGACCCCCCTGTTGTGATGATCACAAAGATGGCGTGCCCTGCCCGTCCTGACCTTTTGAATTTTGGAGTCTGAAATGAAGGAAATTCAACTTTGCCCCTCACAGAATCATACGACAGCTTAATCGGCAAGCTGATACACATCCAGAATTCGCCGCGCAGCCGCACGGTACGCCGCGCGCGACAAATTACGATTGTCTTGTCCGCGTAGCCGCGGAGAACAGGCTGACGCTGCGCCGTGCCCTTCTCCCTTCCCTTGGAACACCCTAGCCCAGCAGCGAACAAGATGGTGTATGCCCACCAGGGCGTGAAGTGCCCTAACATTAAGGAAACTACATTTTCTTCTTTTGCGCATCTTTCCACCTAAAAAACAGGGCCTTTTTAGGGTGTTGCCCTTCCCGAATCACATCGCACCGCCTAAACACGAGAAAGCGGTCTCATACCTTAGTTAGACCGTAAGAGACAACGATTTGGTAAAGATCGAAATTGTTATAAGCCGGCCAGTCCCAATCGATCGATATTCGAGAGACGTAAAATTCGTCTGTCTCGGACGAGATTATGCGAACGTTTTGGACAAGTTGAGGATCTAAATAACAATTTATGCAATTCCTAATTCACAATTGAAAAGTAAAATGCAAAATCACTAGAGATCCTGTAAAAAACAGTGAACACACTTACTGGAGGAATTTCTAGAAGTGCGAGTAAATTTTGACTCATACTTACTTGTTAGCTGAACGATCCGATGTGCCCACCAGGTTTTCGATACTGAACCGGCCAGCATGCAGAAAACCCGAAGGTCCAGTGTATGATTAGCGAAGAACTGAAATAAGCTACAGCATTCTTCAAAGGTTAGTGTGATCGCCAAAACTCTGGAAGTTTGATCTGGACAACTCAGCAGATTCCGTAGTTTTTGAGAAGTACAGACAAAAATTGAGGTTTTTTTGGAAAGAACCAGTGCCTGAATTGATGCAAATGCTTTCTTCCAGCGAGCACAGAGGAGTAAAACTATGTCAGACTAAATCTGGGTCTTATTTCACGTAGCACGCATTGTGCACGAACACCTAAAAATCTCTGTGCTTTTTACAAGTGGAGCGGAGAGGTGGAGTGTAGTAGAGAAATGATTTCTCATGTAAAATACCCAT